AAATTCGAGAACTAGAACCATTCATCTTGCGTCGTGTTTTATTCTTTTTGGTTTCCTTCCCTCAGTGACTTCTTTCTACGATGTCCAAACCTACTAAGTCATATTCACATCTTGAATGCTGGCTGTTGATTGATCACCTCTGCTAGCCCAGAACATTTTTTGTGGCGCGTGCTCTTACGAACAGATTTGCCGCAACAAATGCGCTGGGAACACTGCAGCTCAGACCGCTTATTTATGGGCGGTTCTGTTCATTTTCACAACTCGTCTTTACGCCCATCCTCATCGGCCCGCACAACACCGCACCCGGGAACGGCCACTCGGCTTATTGAAGGATACTAAATGAGGATGAGCATAGTAAAATACAGCCTCCTACAGTTATTCAAACTAGTTATGTTCGCACTGCATAATTCGTATTCGCTGATGCATGTGGGAAGATGCCTGCATCCACGGGCATGGACGTATGGGACAACTGCGCCCTTCTTGCTCGGACCCATTCTTCTGCAGTTTTACAGTTTGTTCGTCAAGTTTTTCAGACCTTCCAGCGTGGAAAACAGCACATGCGTGTTGTCTCTGAAAAAAAAAAAGTTAACTGCATCCACCCCTTTACTTTGTTCTTCGCTGTCGAAGGCTACAACCTTTCTCAGTTTCCTTTAACAGCAGGGACGCTGTGAGTTCAAGTACGACGTCGTTCGCGCAAACGCGCGCAGCGCTGTACTCTCAACGAGCTGATGTCTCGAAGACAGAGGCCATAAAAGTGCGACCTCACAACACACACCACACACACACACACACACACACACACACACACACACACACACACACACACACACACACACACACACACACACACACACACACACACACACACACACACACACACACACACACACACACACACACACGCACGCACGCACGCACGCACGCACGCACGCACGCACGCACGCACGCACGCACGCACGCACGCACGCACGCACGCACACACACACACACACACACACACACACACACACACACACACACACACACACACACACACACAGGCACTGAGTAGAAGAGGGAGAAAAAAGAACGACGTGGCCAAGGCAAGGATCAGGGGAATATCGGCCTCTGCTTCTTTGAGCCAGCATAGTTCTCAAATCTTACCTGTTCTTTCTCCTGGAGCGCCCTGTCTATATTGCCCTCTACTTCTTTTTTGTCCTTCGCATAAGAGTCGGCGTACGTTTCTTTGTGCTAACACAGCGGCACCAATCGATGTGGACGACTTTCCGGAAGTATCAACGAAAAGCATTCAAGTGGCACGGTATTCAGGTCAGGGAGATCCATGGACAACCACGTTCCCCCCCCCCCCTCGCCGGAGGCAGCGGACAATACCCGAACCCGATGAACCGATCGCCCTTAGCGTCAAGCCACATATACCTGGTTTCGTATATGTTAACCTCGAGGGCCGTGGAAAGTCGCGCAGTGGCTCTTGACACGAGCACTCCGGTCGTCTGAGCATTGAAGGAACAGCTTTGTGTTTTTTTTGTTATATACGATCGAAGTTGTCGTGCGAACGCGATATGTACCGTACTGTTGAAAAGAAGGGGCGACCGAACTTGGTTCGTGGACTACTATAGCGTCGCGTACTAAGCGACACGACTGAAGCTTTATATTGCCCACTTGAACGAGGGAAAGACTCGCTTTCAGACTGCAATATATGTTCATGCATCAGCACAGCTCCATCATGACTACTGTAGGCGAAGCAACATGCATTGAACTGTTCACACAGAGAGAGAAACAGAGAGATAGGCGAAGGTAAAGGCAGGAAGGTTAGCCAATCACGTTGTATGAAAACAAAATTGCCTTGGACTCCTTTTTGTTCTTTTTTTCATTCTGGAGGAAACGTATGCAAAGTACAAGAGGAGAGATATATGGACCCGCTGTCGTATTGTGTTGCGGTGTTTCCTGTTAACTACACAGACTACGGAAGGAAGTGCTCGTTGAGACCACGTCCCGAAGACCACCTTTGCGTATACGCAAAACGAACCGGGTCTTGTCTTCCACGAGAGGCGCAACTATAAGCTAACAACAATAACATAAAAAAAGGATACAGCGTGACGACGTCAAGAGGATTCGCTTAGAGACGAAATGATGTTGAGTTTTGCTGAAAAAAAAACAGGAAGAAAGAAAAAAGAGAGGCAGATACACACACACGGCGTTACGGTTAGCGAGCGTGAAAACGGTCGGTTCTAGCCCACTGCGCAATGTGGCATGCTTGGCAGCGGCGGCGGCCGCGTGTACTACAAAGATGCGCTGCTGTCCAACCGTGCGTGAATCCCCACGGCCGGAGCTCCGTTTGGTTGACGGAGGCCGCCGACGTCGCCTTGCCAGGGTGCCTCCTTCACCGCCGCGTATCTATACACGCCGCGTTGCAGTGTGTGTATATATACACGAGGCCGCATATACTGGGCTGCACAGTTGTGCCAAACGGGTTCGCGGGGGCTCATTTTCTTCGTTTCGGACACGCCTCCAGTGGCCGCGGAGGCCGCATTTCGATGTATAGGAGTCACACACACACACACAGAGAGAGAGAGAAAGGAAGAGAAGAAAAACCAATAAAATTATACAGCACGTACGAGAAGTAGTATATGAGGCAAGACCCCTAGGTAAGGTTTATCATACAACGCTGAACTCTTCATTATAACACGCATTGACTGAACAACATACTTCCCTGCCTGACTGTTACACTATATAGATATATATGTAGGAGCAACTTGAATTACGTCCGGTGTGGATGACTTGAGGCAGCGTGAAGGAACGAGAACGGGAACAATAAGAAAAAAATGTCAAAGCGTTGGTAGTTTTGTCTTGTACACATTCTCGTCTGGTTAGTGGTTTAATTTGATCAACCCGTTATTTTTCTCCTCGCGTGCAAGTTTTCGATTGTAGTAATGAGTCAAGGGCCCATGTAAAGTTTGCCTAATTTTCTCTATGAAAGTACTGAACGACGTGATGCGTGAGTTTTCTTTCTTCAGAATTCACTTAGATTAAAATGTCTTGAATAAGTTGGTGGTTGGAGAGAGAGAGAGAGAGAGAGAGAGAGAGAGAGAGAGAGAGAGAGATCAAATACAAAAGAGGCATGGGAGGTCCAGTATAGACTGTCCCGTTCGCTATATACCCTACGCTTGGAGAAGGAAAGAAAGGGGTAATAAGTGAGAGAGAATTCGAAGGTACCAATGAAGCATACTCCGTTACAGTCACTGACGGAACATGGCTTTTTATATAACAAGCAAACCATCCTATTGGTATATCATGGTATAACATGGTATATCAGAGCTCATGCCAGCATGACAACCTCTTCAAAAAAGTTCACAGCTCTTTTTTTTGGCCCCCCCTCCCCCCCCCCCCCTAGAATACCTACATAATCGAAAAGTAAAAAATTGACAGACGAAGGGGTATGCCAATTACGTTCACGCCTTTCGTGGTTTATTCGGAATATATCGCAATATTTGGGCGTCCACTTGATGGGCTCCGAAATTCATTCCAGGTTTTGGGTCGTTTTCCTATAACATTTACCCGTTTTTCATAGATGAGAATGTAAGGTGAACAATGCAAAGCGGGCTGAGCATGCATATGTCTTCGACTGTATAGCTGCAGGCGACCATGCATCCAAGGCCGGATTAGTAGACACTTGATCATCCCTATGCTAATGCTTGGGCACAAGTGTTGCAGTCATGATTGTATATAAAAAGAGGACTTGCGAATTCGAACACGAACACGGAATACATGGCTTCTTTTTTTTTTTAAGCAAGCTGTACGTGAAAGCATTGGTAAGCTCGTTGGTGTAAGCGAGCCCTCCGATTGCATCACGTAAATTGCTCATTTGCATTTTGTTGTACTCTTTGCCATTAGTATTTAAAAAAAAATTCGTTTACACGTATACTATACAGTGGAGCATTCGTAAGAGATTTGATCCGATATTAACACCGCTTACGATAAAAAAGGCAACAACGCTGCTGTATTTTTCTTCTTCTTTTGATGTTCTTTCCATGTGTACGAAAGCTCAGTCTTTCAATCTTGAGCGAAGTACGGCCAGGGAAAAAACACGCACCCAGGGTGACGCTAAAGAGGAGCACTCAATCAAACGGGGCTAGTAGATTAGGCCTTCCAAGCCCTGCCTGCAATTTCGCCTTGCCGTATCATCGCTTGTTGGCTTTAAGAATAAAAGAACCCCCCCCCCCCCCCCCCGTAGTTATTGTGAGAACCGCTTCGCCATGGACGCCACTAGTCATTTTTTTTTTCGATAAGTTTGCTTAATAATACCGCTAGCGCGCAGGACAAATGCACGATTAACGTATGCAGACTACAGTCGATAGAGATTACTTTTGTTTTTCGTTGCCATTTTACTTCATTCCTCCACTGCGTCCCTCGTAATCATATGGTTTTGGGACGTTAAACCCCAACAATTAGTGTTACATGCCTCCTCTGGCGCCATTGTCGCTAGGAACAACCTCTTACTTGACCCCCACGAATAAGAAATATATAGAATCAGAATAACAGAAGCCTCCGACCCCTCCGCCCCTGTCCCCATTTCTGTCATTCTAAAACAGTTAAGAAAGAACACAACTGCAGTTTATGTTGCAGTGTATTTATTAATGCCTCGCAATACGTTCCGGTTGTTAAGTAGCCTCGGCCAGGTACTGTCGTAATATGGCTCACTAAGCTTCAGGCCACCATAAAGGCTGCTTATAAAACTAACGGCAGTGTAACCTATATATACCACTCTATAGCTTAGCTCAGTGCATGTGTCTCATAAGTGTCTCTTTAAGGGTAGTCCATCAGTGGCGAACTCTCGTAAGTTGGCCAGCAACCACTCACACCAATAGGCAACAGCTTGGTGGCGACCAATCCAGAAATTAAATCAAACGCGATATAATCACGCAGCTTTCACCCCGATGTCCACAAGCTTGAAGGTGAGCGTGTGGTATCATATACACGGCGTACACCCATGGGACACTCACTCTTTTTCTTGGGCTCGTGGTCCTGGACCTGGGAGGCTTGCACGTGCTGCGGCTGCTGTTGCTGTTGCAAGTCCATGATGGCGCCCAGCTGCGTAGAGCCATAGACGTCTTCGTGCGGCGGCAGCGGCTGCAAAGGCCCCGCCGCGTACGACACCACTTGTGCCGTCGGATCGGCTGGGTAGAGCATGTCCGCGTCGCGGAACTCCAGGCCGCCCTCCTGCAGCAGCTTCAGTTTCACGTCGTTGTAGTTGCTCGGAGAGGACCTGCGTGGTGAAGCAAAAGCACGCCGTGTTAGTGTCCACATCATTGTCCCAATGGAGTCCTCTGCCGAAAGTAGGCCTGTCGCCCATGCTACACTTCTTTGTGCTAGTCAAAGGAGGCCTGCCACCCATGCTACACCCATGCCGGTCTTTCTCCCATCTTCGCACTAAATCATACAGGCGTGTCTGTATATGGCTTACCCCACTACTGAGTGCAGTCACTCTTGTCTTACTCATCCCTGTATCGCTCATTATACGCGACATTCTTAACGATAAGGTGGAGCACCTCCTCTTTCGGCTATTGTGGTGTTGTGTGAGAGGAAACAGTGACCTTGCTGCCTCGGCACTGCATTTTTTGTGGTGTCACGTCCAAAGAGTAATATGGCGGTGCCCAGGAAAGCGTTGCTAAAAAGGTACATTGTGAAGAGGTCCGAATAGCATGATTCCTGTCAATCACTAATAAACCATCCAATTTACGCACCACGGGGCCTGTGAAAGGCCACATCACTCTCAAAATGTGACCACCTATTTGCATGCCCCCATCCTTGGCCTCGTTAGTCTTATGTCTATATTTTTTCCAACTGTCTTAGTAGTTATGCTCCAAGCTTTAGCACCATGGTTTAGTACTTGTATTATAAATCGATCATGCAGAAGCAATGTAATGGTCTCGCACCCGATCGAAACCTTTCACGATCTTTCACGTATATACAACCCAATTTCGGGTGCTTTCAGGGGATGCATGTGAACAACGCACGAAAGGGGGAGGGGGGTCATGTCCTGAGTGAATTCTGCGCTCTCATTTTGCTTGCCACTCGCTTCGACGATCTGCTTCAAAGCCCATATTGTCGATGGTGGCACAAGAAGGCACGCATACACATACTATTTTACCAAACAGCTTCAAACAAACGCATGACGCTCAGTAAAGTGCACTTAAGGACCGTATGCGTATCTGGTATGGAAGAATGAGGGAACGTACAGCGATTGTTTTGCTTGGACCAAAAATCACAGTTATTAATCGTTGACTGAATATGAAGTATTTGATTTAGTGTGTGTGAGGTGTATGTGTGTGCCCTTCCATCTGTATTTGTGCTGGTCAATTTAGCTTAATCATGAACCAACTCGTCCAAGCAGCAGTTCTGGCGAAATTGGTTTTAGATTGTATTGCGTCAAGTGACTCTGGTTGGTAGCACCATACTGAAAATTCCATAAAGAAACTGCACTTACTGCAGGTCGATGATACTTTCATTGCGCTTATGTTATACCAGTGAAAGCGTATACAGGTATGTGTATAATAAACCGAATTTGCTTCTACGCATATTCGGTCCGGCGCGGCCCCAAGGGCTCGTATTCTTCGTCCATTCACAAAGTGACGGCGGATAATGCATTTCAGCCGGAAGCATTATCACAGTAGTACCCCCCTCCCCATTTTTTTAACGCCATGAACTAGGCCTTCCAAAATCAAGTCTACTTCAAATCGAGAATGTCTACAGCCTCGCAGGCTCTGCACAGCATGTGAAGATGAAATCTGTCGTGACCAGGGAAAAGAAATGCGAAAACGTAAATCGGTGAGAGAGGACTTCCTTTCAAGAAGAGAGAGGAGAGGCCCTTTTCTTCTCGAAATCGCAAAGATCTCTCTGAATTGTGCGATGGCGGCGTTCCGGTGCCTTTTCGCGGCTGATTCGTTCACCAGAGGCGCTCAAATAGGTGAAAATTGCGTTTTCCGTAGTACCGTCGCGTTGGCACTGGCGCATCACATGCGGAAACACCTGGCGAACGCCCGACTGAAGAAAAGCACCCAAAGCAACTTTCGGCGGGGGAGTGGGGGCACACCATGGCGGCGGCGAAAATGTTCGCCAGAATCCGTGCAAGGGTCACGCATTGCACTCCAATTCGGTATGTGCTCTGCGCTACTCTTCGATCCTTTCTTTCCATTGAATGGGCGAAGAAGCGGGAGAAATCTCGAGCACCGTGGACCTTTCCTCCTTCCCGCCAATATCTGTCTACTTTCTTCAGGCCGCATGCGCTCATCGTAACAGATCTCCGGCATCGTGACAGTGGGAAGCGCCGCGCCACTTCAAAAGACTCAAAAATGGCGTTCGTGATCTGCTTAGTCGCTGCAGCCAACGTGGCGGGCGCGCATTCCACGGTTCGCCAGAAGCCGGTTCGCCAGTCTCCGGTTCGAAATGCCTGCTCCCGAGCGAAATTGAAACTTTTACTCCGGCGGGCTACAGCAACGGCGTCTGAAAACACGCCGCCGCCACGCCTATAGCTTTTTTTCATTTTTCTTTCTTTCATCTCCTCCTCTTTCGCAGAGTTACCCACAATCGGTGTGTACTTGTAGTCGAGCTGTTTCCTAAAGCATCGGCCAAACAGCTACGTCGAAGAGGCGCGGGGATCCGCGGGCTGGCCAGACTGCGCGCAGGCTTCCGGAGGTGAAGGGAAATCACGGGAGGGAGGAGAGCCAGTCTTATGCTTCTTGCTGCTCCTTTCTTAATTTCTTTCTCCCTTTTTCTCATCCGTCGCGGCTACCAGCTATAGGGTGAAGGTGGCTCGTGCGGGCGCCGATAATGACGGCTGGACGTGGTACCTTTAGGTCGCTGTCAATGCGGCACGCCTTGCGGCGAAGTCCCTTGTTGGGGAGGCGCGCGCGGTTTTGAGTGGTTCACGGCGGCGGTGAAAAGTTGAATCAATCTAGTAGTGGAAATGGGACCCTCGATATCCCCTCCCCCCCCCCCCCCCCCCCGTAAGATCCTGTTCGATTCATGCCAGCTCCCATTCAAATTCTATAAAGAGGCGCGCTTCGCACTCCCAGTAATACGCCTCTCGGAATGTGCTGACAGTTCCGGAAGCGTACAGTCCACTTAGCACCGATCGAAGGAGGCTGAAAAAAGGCGGGTCGGCCACTCGCCGCGACGGCGCCGACAGGGATTTCGCAATGCTTGAAAAAACGCGAAGAGTTTGAAAAAGAAGTTTAAACGCAGACATTTTGCGTGACCCACACAGACTCTTTTTTTTTGGTTTTTTAACGGTCACCGCCAATGAAGCAGTAGGTTAGCTCTATAGCTGAAAGGAGGAGGACGAGGAACAGAAATAAATAAGGCTACGTTGATTCCGCCTTGTGACGGCATGCATATAGTAAACTGAGCGGATGATTTTATTTACCGGCGAAAAGTTTTCGTCGCCGTTGAACCTATGCATAAAATCATTGTACTAACTATAAGTTTCAATGTTTTTCGTTATGTTAACCTTCTTTAATTCTCGCTGCACCATAATTCAGCGTTGCAGAGAAGCCCACTATTTATTAAGAGCGACGCGCAAAGATTTGAAGCAAGGGTGTGAGACCAAATATCCATATATATGAAAAGACAGCTGTATACTGTGTAAACATATACAGTAATTACAAATTGGAATGCAAAATTGCTTTTTTTGTATATATATATGGTATATCAGCTGCTATGAGCCAATTGCTGGTGATGTCGCTTCAAATCTGTCCGCTTAAAGTAACGTTGGCCCTTACGTAAACCTTCGAGTTCGATTTACGCTGATATGCCATCAACTGTAGACGCTGGAAACAAAAGGACGTGGAGTACTTAAGCTTTCAATTTTCGCGCTTCGATCTGTGAAAACTTCGCTCGAGAGTATCGCAGAGCGGATTTCGTGACATCCGTACAGCGAAGCTTTTTTTTTTTTTACCTGGCTCATTTAGTAGTCCGGTCTCGCATGTTAAACGAATGGGACAGGGGCGTGTGCCGCAGCGCCACCCAAGCTTGCTCAGTGTGAACTGGAGACGTCGTTGTGCAACTTCTCTGAATTCTGTCGCGGCCATGGAGTACATCAAAACTCCACAAGCACCCGTACCCGATTAACTCCACACACACACACACACACACACACACACACACACACACACACACACACACACACACACACACCACACACACACACACACACACACACACACACACACACACACACACACACACACACAGAGAGAGAGAGAGAGATAGAGAGAGAGAGAGAGAGAGAGAGAGAGAGAGAGAGAGAGAGAGAGAGAGAGAGAGAGAGAGAGAGAGAGAGAGAGAGAGAGAGAGAGAGAGGGGTTATCCGTGTCTCGGAAGCATACGCGCTGCAGACCTCCGTAGGGTATACGACAAACCGCGCGTGTTACTCAGGCGACGCGACGACATCGCCATCAGCGCGATGCGCCTCGCGCGAGCCTCCATGGAGGGCGCGACTGCTGCGTGCATTTGTTGGTCGCGCCATGAGCGCTGCAGAGACGGTGGTAACGTCAGACGTGATGTGCATTATCCTTCGCGACGTTCTCTTCTTTTATTTCTTTTTTTTTTTTGCGGGTCAGGTTGCCGCAATTCCGCGAGGTGCGGCTTGTCTAGGCCGTTTATTCCTCGTTGTACTTTATTTGTTATTTACTGTGCTCGCCTTATTCCTCCACTAGCTTTTTTTTTTTCCCGCCTTCTTTCGTTCTCCGTGTTCCCCATTTTGCGTTCTTTTTTTTTTTTTTCGCATGCTGTTCTTTCTGCCCGTTTTTCTCCCGTACGGATCGAGGTGGAAAAATGGCATGCACGGCGCACTTCCTCGTTTGCTGGTGGAGTCCCCTCGCACGAGGCAACATGATTACCATGAGGCCACGTGGCACCGAGTGGCCCCGACAAATCTCTGCGGGTTGTGCGCGCTCGTCGGCTAACACGGGGTGTGGATGGCCCTGATTGCAACCCCCCCCCCCCCCCACTCTCCAAAAGGGAACAAAAAAGAAAAAAAAGAAAAAAAGGACATGAGCCAGTGCGGTAACGGTGTCGTATTTGCTGTGCATCTCCAGGGTAAAAAAAAAAAGAACGAACGAAGCAAGGAAGTAAAGGAAAAAAGGTCAGCTGATGTAGTCCTTGATTAGTTAACGCTGCGGAACAGTGCTAACTCTGTCGCTGGAATTCGGGCTTTTTGTAAGTAACCCAGTGCTTGCACATGTTTCTTGGGCAGCAACCGACATA